TGGTGCCCTCTTCGGCCAAAGGACCCCCGTTGGCCGAAGAAGGACCAACTCAAAATATGATCCTGAAGCCAGGGAACTTGGGTGCCCCCGTCGGCCGTGCCCTCGTCGGTCGTGCCCTTGTCGGCCAGAAAGCCTCACAGAACTAGATTTTACACTTAATCATTTCTACACACATTGTATTCGGCCCAATAGCGGTCCAGTTGAAAAGGGGCCTCCCAAGCCCAAGGCTTGGAAGCCCATCTCGTATTTTCCCTATAAATACTTCCTCCGGAGGTAGTTGTAGGGGTTCACAAAATCATTTATTGAAGTATTTACTTGCACTTCTCTCTCTAACTCTCACTTCTCTCTAGAATATACTCTATCAATAACCATCATGAGTTCAATATATGTTCACTTATGTTGAGTAGATATTCGAGATAATTATCACATCCGTAAAGAAAGATCACACTCCTTAAGAAGATCATGTCAATCGATCGAAAAGTTATGAGAATATATGTTGTCCTCTTTGTAAGACGATGGTTTCATCGCTTCATGTGAGTTATTACTTAATAATAAACATTACTCCAAATAATAATCGATAATGTCAATTTTTGTTTCTATGCGTATATCATCTGAATTCGACTGGGTCATTGGCATACAATTCACTCATACATTAAATAATTATGTTTCAGGAATTTCAGCCCAACCTTTTTCTTATCAAGCTCAATTCTTTGTTGTTGCCAGAAATAAAAAATTAGGAAACTATTCTTACAAAGATACTCCGTAATATTTTTACTCATATCAGATTTACTTAATTGAAATAGAATTCGTACGTTCGGAGTATATTATATGAATGGAAAATGCATGATTTGTATGAAGTTGGTTAAGTATTGATATATTTTATTATTTTCTGTACTAAAATATTTGTTGATATCACTTAATTTCACACACACATTAGTTTCGCTTAATGCAATTTTTTGCCGAGCAATAAAATTAGTACGAAAAGTTTTTTAATTTTCTACATACAAAAGGTCAAGCATTTCCACAATTCCACTAGCATCAATTCTCGAAGTACGAAAAGTTTTTAAATTTTCTGCATACAAAAGGTCAAACATTTCCACAATTCCACTAGCATCAATTCTCGAAGTACAAAAAGTTTTTTAATTTTCTGCATCCAAAATGTAAAATTTTCATTCTTATTGAAAGTTGAAATGATAAATGTATGCAGACAAATGGATTGAATATTACAAAAGGTATGAAACCCTTATATATACCTTGCAACAATAAAAAATTGTTAAAAATTGCATTTTTTTGGGTATAACACTCATTAAAAAGAAAATAATATTTATACTAATGCATTAAAATTGCATTTGTTTGGGTATGCCACTCACTAAAAACGAAAAGACACATAATTAATGCTCCATAATATTTTAGGGAAAAAACAGTTATTTACTAAAATGCTAAATATGAATAATACGTACGGCGTAGTATATAATTTGACTCAAGTAAAATTTAAATATGTAATTTTTTTAATCATAACTAGTTAAATATCTTTAACAATTAAAGTCATATATGTATTGACAAGCGTGTTCTTCAAATTTGTTGTAATTAAATAAGGATAAAGTTCACTTCATTTTTTCTGAGTATAACAACGAATGTAAACATTTCCATTTTATCATATCATTCGTGCAATTTATACTCATCTTACTTTTTTATCATACAAAATAATCAATAATATTAAATATATTTATTATATCCCGTGCGTGGCACGTTCATTAATGAAATAAAACATACGGCGGCTACCTAGACTTTTTTGGATGAAGTAAAACATACGCCGGCTAGCTGTGTTCTCTAGAAATAATGGTTAGCTAATTATATTGTTGCCCATCCAGAGGTAGTAGCTGTGCATATATCAATCATATATTGTATTCATATCGATCCATCAAAATGTGCTACTTTACCACCACTGCTGTTATAAGGATCGCCTTTCTTCTTGTCCTTGTTCTTGATCGCATTTCATGTGCTGCAGCAGTTGCTCTCACCACCGGCAACCACGCTCTTGAAATCATGGGTGGGGTCTGTGCTGTACTTGTTGTTTTATGGTTCTTGTACAAGTATGTGTGGAAGAAGCATCAACGAATTATGAAAGAACTGGCTCGAATGAGTAAAGTATTCGGCGGCGGCACCGAGATGCGACCTACTAGCTAGCTCATTCATGTAACTGCGTACCCACTGCGGGCCTCATTCCCGCAGCTACATACATTTTGTGTACCACATTCGCACACGTTATCTCTCTACGCATATAGAGTTGTTTGTTCTACACAGATAATTTTGTTACGTAGTTTTTAACAGAATTGTCTGTATACAAACAGTCTATCTGCGTAAACAGATAATTCTATTTGCATAGACAAACGGTGTGCGAATATGGGGTAACCTAACATTTCTGAATTTTCGCTACCATTGTTTTCGACCCTGCAGTTAATCGACTATTTTACTTATTGAAGATTGTTCCAATTTTAATTACAATACGTACCATGACGAAAAAATATTGCTCGCATATCATTGTTACGGAGTAGTTTTTATTGTTTTCTTGGATCAATTGCTTGTTATTCTAGTGGTATTCTACCCGTGCGATGTACGGGAAAAATTTATTAATACAAAAATTTGTTCATATACAAAAATTTATTAATACAAAAATTTTGTCATATCATGTTATATGTGGATGGATTTTTTTCGCTTAGAAAAAACATATTCGATGTACCAAATGATAGAGTATTATTAACTCTTAGAGAGAAGTGAGAGTTAGAGAAAGAAGTGAGAGTTAGAGAGAGAAGTGTAATGATTGTGCAATTAATGTATTTGTCAACCCCCTTACAACTACCCCTAATATGAGTATTTATAGGGAAAATATGGGTTGGGCTCTCAAGTTTTGGGCTTGGGAGCCCCGTTTACAATGAGGCCTCTGCTGGGCCGAATACACAGTATGTATATTGGCTTAGTATGAATTCTAGCTACTCGAGGTCTCCGTGGCCGATGGAGGTCTGGCCGACGGAGACCCGGCCGGCAGGGCACCCCGATTCTCTTGGCTTCTGGATCATATTCTGAGTTGATGTCTACCTGGCCGATGGAGGGTCATCTGGCCGACGGATGACCACTGGGTGACAGTTGTGATTCCTCTTAGTCTTCTGAGTATGTGGGTCATGAGGTTTGGACCCATATACTCCATCAGATATGTACAATTTACATTTTCAAATATACAACAATCATAACTGCATGGTTGATAACCACTACTACCTCTATCTCCCTAGTATAGAGATGAAAGAGAGTGGTGTGGTTTTTAAGAAAAGTTGAATTATGTGCATGGTTAATAATGAGTTGATAAAGTGAGAACAAAATAAGAATCAATGTGAGCCACACAAATGTTACCAAATATGGTATGAGATAATTTTAGTAGGACGAACAGAAAAGGAAAAATTAGACAATTATAGTCGGATGGAGGGAATATTATTTAAACTTGATATTTTTAGAAATTTGGTAGCGGCGTATAACTATTTATATTATAAAATTGGAATTTTGAATAACATGGATCCTTTATTTTAGGTCTTAATGACAGCTTAGATATCAATGGTTTTTAATATAATGTAATTTAATACTTATACGTAAATAATCACTATGGGATAATAAAGAGTTTTTATCAAAATAATGTTAAAGAAAAATTATTTACCAAATTAGGATCCAGTTAAAAGTTGTTCTCAAAATACTGCTGGAATGAACCTTGGTTAATAAATTAAAACCCCTAACTCACTTGTCAACTTTCTCTTAATCGTCAAATTAGGGAGCGAATGTTATGAAGCTAACAACTGAAAGCTAGCAAATCAAATCACTTAGAGCCGGTTTGGTGATCCAAATTTTTTATGAGCTTCATCAGCCGACTTTTTCATCAAGCACATAACTTTTGTTTTTGTGCGCAAAGTTGTGTAATGGTCAACATAAATAAGGTTGAAGCTACTTTTATGACTTGATTGGCTGAAGTTGTTGTAGAGAACCATTTTAGCTATTTTCAGATTTTTTTTCTTTATTTTATGAATAAAATATATTTTAATTACAATTTTTCCACAATTGCAGCAGAATCATCTAATCCAACAACTTCATCCAGATCTTCAAATATTTTAGCAGAATTAAACGATTCAACCAATTTTAGTGTTACCAACCTTGCTCTTAATTTGACCCAAATTCAAAAACTCTCTCTTTTTAGATAATTACTATAACTTTTTTATTTGTAATCTGATTTTTACAAAAAATATGTCAAAATTCATAACTTGTAATTAACTTTCATATGACATCAATATTGCATCTATAAGAATAAAAGTAAATCTAAAGATACGTTGGTGGAGGTTTTTAAGTTCAAACTTTTTCTTAATTGGATTCAAGTTCTAAAATTAAGAGTCTATTTGGTAACAATGAAATTGATTGATTCTGTTTAAATTGATGAAGTTAATTGATCGAATTTTCTTAATATTGAAGTAGCCACATTTAAAATATATATTAATAATAAAATAAAAAAAATGAGAAATAGCTAAAATGTTCATCAATACTAACTTCAGTCAAAAAATGACTCAAAGCTTACTTATTTTGATTTTCATATAATTCATCACGCGAAACAAAAAATTATGCGTTTAGTGAAAAGAATGACTTATAAAACTAATAAGCCGAATATAGGGGTCGTCAAATCTAATATACTCCCTCCGTCCCTAAATAAAAGCATCTGTTTCCTTTTCAAGCCGTCCCTAAATAAAAGTTCCTTTTCCTTTTTTGGCAAACAAAACAGTGCAAAACAGTGCAAAACAGTGTCAAACAGTGTCCAAACAGTGCCAAACAGTACCAACCAAACCCACTTTCTTAAGATGTGTGTAAAATGAATGGATACTTTTATATAGGGACGGAGGGAGTATATATTATTAAAAGCGTAATAGTGCAGTGCCATTTTGAGCGGGAATGTAAGCGCTCATTGCCTAGAAGGATGGGGTTGGGTCACCAATATTACTAAAATTTAGCAAATGGACAAAAAAGTTAACTTTCTCTTTAATTTCCAAAAATGTGACTAATTAACATTACACTTACTAAATTACCCCTGACACCTAGTGACTTTATAAAACAGTGACCTATTCCGTCACAGTGACATACCATTCAGTGACCTCCGTCATAGTGACTTCCGCCGACCACCGTGAGTGACCAACCCTATAGTGACTTCCGTTCAGTGACCAATTTACACAGTGACTTTTGTCCAGTGACCAATTAACAAAGTGACATCCATAGCCCATAGTGAAAACCGCAGCCCGTAGTGACCAGTCCTCCGCTACTCCAATGACCCGTCCTCGCCGCCCCACCGCCCACAGTGACTCTTCCCCGCTGCCCCAAGTCACCCGTCCCTGCTGTCGCCAGTGACCCGTCCGCCGCCTTCGCCAGTGACCAATCTGCTTCTGCCGCCACTGACCAGTCCCTGCCGCCACCAGTGACATGTCCACCACCGCTTCCAGTGACCAGTCCCTGCTTCCGCCAGTGACCAGTCCCTGCCGCATCCAGTGACCATTCCTCCACCGCCACCGCCGCCGACAGTTACAAACCACCCAAACACCTCCCTGCATCCCCTTCTCCAACTGCACCCTACTCCCCATAGCCCCCTCCCTCACGGCCTTGACCTATCTCCATCACAATCCTTGACCTGTCCCATCCCTAGTCGCCACAACCACTACCCAACCCTAGCTCCGACGCAATCGCTAACCATCTCTAGCCGCCGCCATTACCCCTATCTCCGTCACAGTCCCCGACAACAACAGATCTAGCCGCGGCCACTGCCCAACTTAACCAGAAACCGTGACAATCGCCAAAACACCATACCAAAGCCCACCCACATCTGGCTGCCGCCACAGATCTTAAATTTTATCGATTCCATTTTTTCCGATTTGAAGCTGTAGCCATTTTCTACACCTGAGGCACATCGTCTTCATTGCCTTCACCTCTAATCGAACAAAAATTAAAGAAGAAGAAGAAGAAAAGCAGAGGGTGCCAACGTAGAGGCGGAGAAGATGAACCGGAGGCAGAGACGGAGAAGATAACCTGGAGGCAGGGGCGGAGAAGACAATCTGGATTTTGGAGGCGTTGGATGGAGTTTCTGCACTGAAATGCGTTGTAGAAGAGAATGGAGATTGGGCGTTGGTCTCTTCTGAGGTTTGCAGACGGGAATTATTTTGGGGTAATTGTGTCCACTCAATTTTAATTAATCACTTTTTTGTCTATATTCAAATTAAGTCCTATTTTTATCTAGATGAAAGCTGGTAGTCTTTTTTTGTCATTCTTTCAAGAAGGATTAAGACAATTAATGCTTCCTTTTTTTGAAAGGATTTACACAATTAAGACAATTAATGCTTCCTTATATTCTAGAATTGCCTTTTTGTCTAAACAAGGCTCTTCATCTTCGGATTTTCGAGAGTCACTTGGGATTTTCTGAGTTTTTATCTTTGAGAGTGATCAATTGAATGCTTGGTTCTGTTTTTTGTGAGTCAGCTGTAGGGCTATTAATGCAAAGGGTAAAATGTAATTACTTTGGTGAAAGATTTTAGTATATAATATTACTATTGCTATTATTAGGATAACATTGTCCTTGAAAAATGATACCCTTTTTTAGTAAAATAGGGTATCATTATTGCTATGAATGAATTATTTAAATGACAGTAGAATGTATGTTTTTTCACTTTAAAATTAATATAAATTGGTCAATATAGGATAAAAAGATATCTAAAGTGAAAAAAAAAGACTAAGTATATTGTATTCCGTAAATATGACTCATTTAATCCTATTAAAAGAATAAGCTAAGAAGATTTCTTCAAATAGCGGTTAGTGAGTCCTATTTTAGGAATAAAACAATGACTTTATTTAGGGAATTTCTTCTAAAATTAATATTGCTTCAAATGTCAGCATTTATAGTCATTTTTATTCCAAACAATTCATATGTAGTCAGCCTAATTGTGGTTGCAAGTGATGGGCCGCTGCCGCCGCCCACTGCCCCCCGCCCATTGATAGGGATAGAAAAAGAATGTGTAGTGCTATTTAGGGGAGAGCAAACCTGACCCTGTCCGATTCATCCGATCAGATATATCCGATTTTTTTGTTGGGATCAGAAAATCCGACCCAAAATACCCAAACCCGATCCGATTTTTGCAACCCGAGACTTAAGCGGGTAGCGGGTAGGGTTACCAATTATGCTACCCGACCCGCCTGAAAAACCGAACTAGAATAGTATATATACTACTTTAAATTATTATGCATGTTCAAATATCTCAATTATTATATGTCGATTATCATATTATGCATGTTCAAATATTCCAATTACCGTATTAGTACAACTATAACTTAAAATGTTGTATTGTTATGACTTTGAATGATATTTTGACCAATTATCATTTTATTTATCACAATATCAATTATGTCAATCACCGTATATTATTATTTTACATGTTCAAATATGTCGATTACCGTATTTATACAACTATTACTTTGAATGATATACTAGTATAACTTTGAATGATATTTTTACAAATTACCATTTTGTTTATCACAATTTCAACAATAATAAATTAAAATCCAAATGGACCCGAAACCCGAATCAACCCGACCGCAACCCGAATTTCTTGAACCCGAAAAAAACCGATAAATTTTTTGATAGGGTAGGGTTTGAAATTATCAATTCGATACCCGAACGGGTTTATCATTTTTGAACCCGACCCGCCCGAACCCGACCCGTGCTCTACCCTAGTGCTATTTATGGAATTTAGAATATGAACACATATTCCGAGAGTGGGATAGTCTTTCACTTTTATTTAAGACAATTACTTTATTAATTAAGTGTTTCCTTTGTAAACGTTTCATTTTTATACTCCGTACTACGTAATTTTTGTTAATAATGTGTTCCTGTATTACAAGTTTCATATTGTAATAATATCTTTAATAATTCTTTGTACTTTGTTGATGACCATTTATGCAGGTTGTGACCTTGTGATGATGGCAAGGAAGAAAATGCCATTTCACTTTGAATTAGAGACAAATGCTCTATGATTAAAAATGCAGTCTTATAATCAGCACCATACCAAATGATAAGTTTTCATGCACAAGTTTTACTTCAACCATATTTATTGTATTTATTGGAATATTTTAAATATTTTTTATCAATTTAAAAATTATAGGTTCGATAATTTCAAAATGGTGGTTTGATAATTTTGAAACACCTTTTAAAATGTACTCCGTACCTTTCTTTAAAAATATAGATCGTGTTCAACAACTTTTATTGACTTACTCGATTAGATTTTAATTTTTGAACAATTCACTCGACGTCGCCGAATATAAAAATGAAATAGTTAAGATTCGAAATTTCATCCTAAAATGTCAACCCATAGAAAGTGTAATCAAAGTCTTAATATAACACTTAATTTCTTCACAAGTTTTCAATTTGGGAATTCGATAAATTCATTTGTCACATTTTAAAAAAATGAATAAATACAATATGAGTTGAGAATTAATTTCTGAGAATTAAAAACCCAAATTCGCACATGTACAATACTATTGGGCTCTAAAATCTCATGATTGTGTAACGCAATTTCATTCTTCAATAAAGGAACATTTTATTTATTGACTAAAAGAGTCAATAGAGAATGTTTGTGATAGTTATATATTCCGTTGATTCAATTTGAATTGTTTTTAAATAAAATATTTTAGAACTTAATGTTCCCTTATACACACTTTCTGCCAATAAAAAATGTTCCCTAATTACAGCATTAAATCACGCTATGCAATCATGTAGTCGTTGAAGGATTTAGAATAAGAATGGGAAAATTTATCGAAAAAGTCATTCCCTCAAAAGAATAAAACGATATAATGCAGACTTTTACCTTTCTTTTTGACTAAATCCTAAATAATCTCAAAAATCAAAAGATGAAATAAGACATTATAATTAAAGGGTAGAAGAATATATTAGTTGCTGAGAGCATTAGAATAAGACTGGGGAAATTATCAAATAGGCACACATTGCTTATCGAAAAACCTAGTTATCCTCTTGAATTAAAAACACACCCAACTAAACGCACCATCTATAGAAAACAATCAAATTTATAATCTAGCTGGTAAAAAAGCGCAGCCCACTTAACCACCAATGATGGCGTTACTGACCCGGAGGTAGTAACAAAACAGCATATTAGCAAGGCAAAGAAATGGGAGCAGCCCACGGTGAGCATGCTGCTCCCACAGAAAAAAAGCGTGTTATTGTTCACGCGCGTGAACAGTAACTTCATTTTTGTTTTTCATTGTCCCAGTAGCGGAATAGGTGTAACTCGTGTGTAACAAAATTTAACTCACGTTAATAAGAAATGTAACAACAAGCAAGTTGAAATGTAACTTGTCTAATACGAATTATAAGAAATAAAACATTGATTTTAATGAAAACAAGGAGTCTAATTGCTCAATTACTTTACTTAAATAGTTTATATGTTTTGTTTTCAATATTAAGGACATAATTTTTTTTTACCTTTTTTTTGCCAAATTAAAAATCATTTTTTTGGCCAAAAACTCATTATGTTTTTGCAAAAGAATGTGATTTTTTTATTCAATAGAAGGGGTTAACATAAATGTTGAATATATTTTTTTTAATATTAAGGTCATAAAAATGTTTTTAAAAATATATTTTGTGCCAAAACACATTTTTTTTGGAAAACAGTTTTTTTGCATAACAATGATTCTTTTGTTGCAATAGTAGGCTTTATGTTGTGATGTAATTCATATTACATAAAATGTAACTCGCGTTGATTGAAAATCTAACTTTAGTGTATGCAAAATGTAACTTGTTGAGGCAAACTCAAATGTAACTCGCGTATGGAAAGATGTAACTCACGCACCAGAAGATGTAAATCGTGCATAAGAAGATGTAACTCCATATAATATCTAATGTAATTATAGAAATAGTCTATAAACATAACGATCACACATACGAAAAATGCATTATTCTCATGTTTTTTTCAAATTTAAATCAAAATAAACAACCTTAATGACTATAAAACACAAAAAACATATAAAAGAGATAAGAAATATATTATAGAAAAAAGTGTATGAATATAAAAAATATTTTACGAAAAAAGAGTATGAATATGAAATACAATATACTTGTGTTTTTTTATTTTGAGTTTAGGAATATTTTATTATTTTTTATAATAAATATAAAAAAAAGTATACAAAGTAAGAAATAGTGTATGAATATGAAATACAATATACTTATTTTATGTGAATTAATAAAATTTTGTATTAAATTGGTAAAGAAAAATAATAATTCAGTTATAATTGAATTAGTTCAGAATAAAGATAAGTAAAAAATCACAAATAATTAGATATAACTCACACATAATTACATGTAACTCGCGAATAAAAGTATGTAACTCGTGTATAAGAAGATGTAACTCACACATAACAAGATGTAACTCACGTATAATAACTTGTAACTGGAGTATAAGATGATGTAACTTCGTATATTATAAAATGTAACTCCAAGCTAGAAGCAAAGTAAACAAACTCAATATCTTAAAAACCTCTAAAAATATATAAAAGTGATAAAAATATATATTATAGAAAAAGTGTATGCATATAAAAATATATTACAAAAAAAATGTATGAATGTAAAAAAGATATTACAAAAATAGTGTATGAATATGAAATGTACTTATTTTATTTAGATTATTAAACTTTTTGTTATGTATTGATAAAGAATTAAAAAATAGATTCAATTATAATTTAAATTGAAGATAAGGAAAGTAAAACTACAATTAAATTTTTAATATTTTAATTTGGATGGAAATGGAGAAGAATTAAAGAAAAGAAAAATGAGGAAAGAATAACACAAGAAAAAGGAATGAAGAAGTTCCAGGGAAGAATAAAAAGGAACGTAACTTGTAAAAATGAGATCGGCACACTATGCGGAAGGTGGGCCGATCCTACGGTATAATTTGCCAAAGAAAGCAAATGATTCTACCATAATTTTAATACTTATACGTAGTACGGAGTATATGACTTTGTTATACATAGCTCCATAAAAACGTCACACTTTACGCCATGATGACTGTAAAATTATTAAAAGCAGTTTCCTAAATATGACGTGTAAAATAGGGAGTAACATTTAGGTTTTAGAAACTTAAAATTGCTTCAATGGTATTCCCTCCG